TTGGCGGAAATATAACACCGGATATAAACATCTAAGGATACTTCATCTCGTAATATAATTCCAGTTCTTTGAAGGGAAACCGCCTTTTAAATTGATATCAAGTAAATCGTGGGTATCCGATATGTTATCTTTCCATACAAGTGTTCAAAGGCTTTCGTACATAAGCGTCAGCACTTCCCATAGACTCTCATACATATAAAACGCGCGCCTACGTACACACACGCGCCAGAGACAAAGCCTCAACTCTCTCTTTAAACCATCAATAAATAAAACTACTCGACCACGCCCGTCATCCTGGGTGCCCTCCTCCCCCCTTCTCCCTCCCTCTGCCTCACCTCCACCCCCCCACTTCCCCATTACTCTCTCCTCTCTCCGCCCTCCTCGTCATGCACAAACAATAATGAAGTAATGCGATTTTCCCGTGGACGCAGAATCTGGTTTGGAAATCCGGAAGTTCCTGACGGGAAAATGAAATGGGAAGGAAGGAATCGCCTTTCTGAGTCAATACTGTACTCTCTCTCTCTCTCTCTCTTTCTCTCTCTCTCTCTCTCTCTCTCTCTCTCTCTCTCTCTCTCTCTCTCTCTCTCTCTCTCTCTCTCTCTCTCTCTCTCTCTCTATCTATCTATCTATCTATCTATCTGTCTATTCGTCTATCTATATATATCTATCTATCTGTATCTTTATCAGTCTTTTAATCCTCTTATGTAACAATCTATTCATTAAAATGCCCGCTTGTTTGTCTACCTATCTATATATCTCCTGTTTTCTACACAGTTCCCTAAGAGTCCCTTATAAAATCCGTCTTCGCTCTGTTTCCAGGTAAACCCCATTCGAAGCCCTGCCCTCCCTCGGCCCGTCAGTGAGAGTTAATTACGCAGCCCTGGCTTTAGGCCCTAAAAGATAGGCTTCTGTACGTCGACATTAATCTGCCTCTCGATTTTCCCCCTCCCTCCCCAGTGCCACTTGGCTCCGCCTCCATTTCAACCCCTCCTCTCCTCCTCCGTTTTCCTTTCCTTTTTCTTTGCCCTTTCTTTCTCTTTCTCGTTCTCTTTCTCATTATCTTTATCTTTTTTTCCTTTCTTTTTCTTTTTCCTTTTCCCTTTCCCTTGCCCCTTCTTTCTCTTCCTCTTTCTCTTTCTCTATCTCCTTCTCTTTCTCTTTTTTCCTTCCTTTACCCCTTGCCCTTTTTTTCTCTTTCTCTTTTTCTATCTCCTTCTCTTTCTCTTTTTTCCTTCCCCTTCCTCTTGCCCTTTCTTTCTCTTTCTCTTTCTCTTTTTCCCTTTCCCTTTCCCTTCCCCTTGCCCTTTCTTTCTCTTTCTCTTTTTTCCTTGCCCTTTTCTTTATCTTTATCTTTCTCTTTGCCCTTTGTTTCTCTTACTCTTTCTCTTTTTCCCTTTTCCTTTCTTTCTCTTTCTCTTTTCCCTTCTTTCTCTTTCTTACTCTCTTTTTCCTTTTCCCGTTTTGTTCTGTTTCACAATCTATCTGTCCGTTTTTCAGTCATTCTTGCTTTTCCTTTTTTCATATATCGTTTGTGCATTCAGATTTCTCCCGTTCTCTTTCTAGCGAAGTGAATATGTGATAAACCGTTGTAGGCTTTTAGACATTTTCCCCTCATTCGTTCACCCGCAAGAAAAAAAATGCAAATGAGACACGAAAACCTTAGTGAGAAAATATCCAATAACTCAATTCTTGTAGCATACTGTTCAAATTTCCTCTCCGTTTACGGGCATTCAGTCACCTGTTCTTTAATTTGTCCCATAGCGTCTGCTACTTACCTTGCATCGGTTATTGTTACCTAGTTTGCCTCACAGGGACTGATTACCTATTTTGCCTCAGGGACTGTTACCTAGTTTGCCTCAGGGACTGTTACCCGCCTTGCCTCACAGCGACGTCAGGCAGACATCACAGCAGCCACGCGCCTAGGACAGTTTAATTCTTCAGCAGAGAGCCAAGAACTTCGCGAATATTTCTTGTGTATACATTTTTTTTTTCATTTTCTTCTTATGGCTGTTTTCTTTCCTTCCATCATTTCTCAGGTCTTTTGATCTTTGGGGCGTAACTTGAGACGTGGCTGGAGTTTTAAACTTTTATGTGACTGCATTGTAAAGATCCAGACCTGTTGTTGAATGCGTCCTTTTGTTGCCCTCACAAACCGAGAACTTCCTCAGTAGTTTTAGCGAACAGAGAATCATAATTAGCAACTGAGAAAGTAGAGATTTTAAACTTTTCTTCAGATGAATATGTGTATAGTACTATGCTTATTTTTGTTAATGTGTGCGTGTGTATACAATGTGTGTGAGTGTTTGTACAATATGTGTATGTATATATATATATATATATATATATATATATATATATATATATATATATATATATATATATATATATACATATATATATACATATATGTATATATATATATATACATATATGTATATATATATATATATATATATATATATATATATATATATATATATATATGTGTATGTATATATATATATATATATATATATATACATATTGTACACACACACACACATACATATATGTATATATATTTATATATATATTTGTATCTTTCTCTCTCTCTCTCTCTCTCTCTCTCTCTATATATATATATATATATATATATATATATATATATATATATATATACATATTGTACACGCACACACACACATCTATATATATATGTATATATATTTATATATATATTTGTATCTCTCTCTCTATATATATATATACATATATATATATATATATATATATATATATATATATATATATATATATATATATATATATATGTAGAAATATAGATAGATAGATAGATAGATATAGATAGATATAGATATACACACATTCTGATGCATCGTTGGCTTAGTTCTTTTCATAATGCGCACATTTGTTTATACATTTAGCGTTGCTTGTTTCTCCATGGAAACCCTTGGCAACTGTAACAATTGTGACACTATATATACTCGTACTTGAGGCTTAAGTCGTGGTGGCAACAAGTTCACGCTGAAAAATATAAGGAATGTCGCCATCTGAGTAACAAGGAATCAGAGTGCGTTTTATGTCTCTGCAACTATGTAAAGAGCAATCAAACATTCCGGGCTTCATGGTACAGCCTCAATTTGCACACCTGCAGAAGCCTTATTAAGAAATAGCTTCGCACTCTCGCAAGCAATAAGAGGTTCAGATACTGAAAGCAAATAACTGTAGACGTGATTCTTCAAACAAATATTTCGACTTGGACAAATTCTATATACTCTGTTTTTATTAAGAAATGGACCCTGGGGGAGGATATGCATTACACGTTAATCAAAATGTAGTATCAGAGTTTGATTTAATTTGTGGCATCAGCTAGAATGTTAGTGCCGTCATCCTCTTTTATAATGGCCGTAGACTTAATGTGGATTTCATGTAACGCATTTCTCCAACTTCGAAAAGCGAAGCGTACAACCCTTTTTCCTTCTCTCCCTCAGACATTGACAACAATGGCTTCTTGGACAAGAACGACTTCGAGTGCCTTGCCGTCAGGAACACCCTGATTGAGGGCCGTGGCGAATTCAGCGCCGATGCCTATGCCAACAACCAGAAGATCATGAGGAACCTCTGGAACGAGATCGCCGAGCTCGCTGACTTCAACAAGGTAATGCCACAGGCCGCTGGGCCTCTTGGCGTCCGGCCCACTCCTTCGGCCGACGGAATAGGGCTTTTGAACCGAGGGCCCCGAGACATGGAGGAAAGGTCTCGTGCTTCTGGGTCTTGGGGGATTAGTGGCTAAGAGTGAGATAGATAATAGGTACTTAACACCAGGGAGTGAATTCTTAGTACTAGAAAGCCTAGAACCAATTCTGAATACTTGGCGTTAGAGTTTTAGTTTTGCTTAAGATATAGATCAGAAGAAAAAAATTAAAACGCTTGATAGTGAGAGCTTGATATTAGGGAGTGAAGCTTTTAGTACTAAAAATGAAGCATTATTACCTACAGTGTGTGGCAGCTTGTTAGCCCAGCGGGAAGACTTAGTAGGAGAAAGTGCAGAAGGAGTGAGGGATGGTGTGAATGTACTTTTTTGTCTAAACAAATATATATGAACATGTGAATAGTGGTGATGGATGGACCCACACTTAGCAATGTCTACACACACCACGCACTCACACAATGCACACACACACACACACCACACCACACCACACACACACACACACACACACACATACACACACACACACATTAGCAATTCTACTATTAACACTGGTAGATACACAGACAGTGATCATTTCAAGAAATGAACGTGCGATATGAATGATATTTTGTGTAGTGTACTACATGCGGTTGTGAGATTTTTATTTTCCTCAAGCCACTTTTTGATCAAGGTTTATCAGATGGACGTCAGGTATGGAACAGATAACAATTTCTGATGGTTGTGGATCACGGTTGATCACTGTAGGTGCAACAACTGGTGCCTTGCAGAATGGCGAGGTCACTGTCGACGAATTCAGGAAGGCAGTGCAGAACGTCTGTGTTGGCAAGAGTTTTAATGACTTCCCTACGTGCTTCAAAGTAGTCATTTCAAACTTTTTCAAGACCGTTGACGTGAACGGTAGGTGGTATTGTCTGCACACTGCCACCAGACTTCGCCTCTAGGAGCACACTAACGATAACTGCTGGTAGCATTCCACTGTAGAAGCTCAATCCCGGCTGCTCTGTGATTGGAGCATGATGCGTAGGCCTTTCTAGCTGTCTCTCCATTTTGCCTGGGTAGAGCTTGATATCACATTCTACTTTCAGCATCCTGACTGCACTCTTTCGTCTCTCATTCTACGTCACTTCTAACTTCTCATCACAAATGCGTGGGAGCTTCTAAATCATTCACCTCCACTATCCAAATCTCTTTTTTCACACTTGGACAGCTTCATCCTCACATTCATGCCTGATCCATGCTTTTATTCCATGCCTTTTCCTTTCACCTTCATTCGCTCATCGTACAGACGTTGTACTACGAAGAATATCTGCGGGAGGGTAAGACATGCCCTATCACCCTCAAGCACCTGATCACCAGCAACAACAGACGCCAGTGTCATTGTCACTTGCGAATGTCAAAACTACACCTTCGATTGCCAAGACAAACTGAAACCACATCACACAGACTCAAGAAACTCCTCCTCTCCTAACGGATTGATCTCAGAGTCCCTAGCATCATCCTTGGGGTTTCAGTAGGTTATGTCTTCACGTTTTCAGGACGGCGAGGTAACTGTCGACGAGTTCAAGATGGCTGTGCAGAAGCATTGCCAGGGCAAGAAATACAGCGAATTCCCCGGTGCCTTCAAGGTTTTCATTGCCAACCAGTTCAAGGCTATTGACGTTAACGGTACGTTCATTGCCATGCCTTTTGGCGTGTGAGAGCTGAGCATCCCTAGCAAGCAGCTAACACCTCTAAACTCATGGCATAGGCCGTGTGCAACGGGCAATATTACCAATGTAGGAAGTTCACAGTTTAAATTTCATCTGACGTTTGCAGGACGGCGAGGTGACCGTTGACGAATTCAAGGCGGCAGTGCAGAAGAATTGCAGCGGCAAGGTTTACGATACCTTCCCTACTGCCTTCAAAACATTCATTGCTAACCAGTTTAAGACCATTGATGTGAACGGTACGTTGTCGAAAACTTGTTGCTAGTAGAGGCGTCACATCAACACTATGCATCACAACCAACACCTTAACCACCACAGTCGTCTAGACATAACTAGCCCAAACCGGTGTTCCATCCCCTGGTTTCCTCCCTTGACCCCATCCCTACTTCCAGGACGGGGAGATTTCCAGCCAAGAGTTCAAGAAGGCGGTCAAGGACGCCTGCCTAAGCAAGACTTTCGATGAGTTCCCGAACGCCTTTAAGGTGTTCATTGTGAATCACTTTAAAACCATTGATCTGAACGGTATGTGCGACCAGTTCGAGGTTCGTTATCGGCTTCCCACTTCTTCTGCTCATCATTTCTTCTCTCTCTCTCCATTATCTCAGCCCATGTTTCGCCACCTCTTCAAGATCTAAGATAAGAGGCTTTTTTTTAATTTCCGAGTAAAAAAGGCCTTATTGCAGATCTTTCGCTTCGTTTCCCGTGGCTGGCCTTTCGGTTGATTCATCCCTGATCTTCCTTATTGGTTCCAGGACGGAGAGGTGTCAATTGACGAGTTCAAGCAGGCTGTACAGAACGTTTGTGTGGGCAAGGCTTATGACAGTTTTCCTGTTGCCTTCAGAGCGTTTATTGCTAACCAGTTTAAGGCAATTGACGTTAATGGTATGTCAGTTAAACGCCAGTCTGCAGTGTATTGCTACGTCGCACGGGAATGCATCATATCGCTCATCTTAAACAGTAGACGGCACAGTGTAGATCAGTAATAAGCATTTAAGTATATCTAAATTAAACACAACTGGATCTTCGTCCTTATAACAGATATTTAGAATTAGTTGCCAACAATACCTAAATTTGGCATCGGATGCCTAATTCTGTAGAACCTGATTACCAGTCACATACTTCTCGTAGACATCAGGTGTTATGTATATTAAAATGAGAAATGCTTGCATAGTAGAGTGGGGGACTCACGTTGTATTGGCACAGACAATCTGAATCCCCATTTTGGCTGCTGATGTATAAATAAAAGTAGAAATAACTGGCTCTTAAGTTAAGCGGTCCTGGTGGGGGTGACTTTGTAGCAGAGGCCCAAGGTCGATTCGTGGCAAACCTCTGGTACAACCGCTTCCCTCTCCTAAGTAAAGTATTAATCCCTTGGGACAATTTAGTTTCTCCATTTTGGTTGTAACATTCTCTCCTCCTCCTCCTCCTCCTCTTCCTCCTCCTCCTCCTCCTCCTCCTCCTCCTCCTCCCCCTATCTTTCTTTTTCTCTTTCCACCGTATCTCGACCAGAACAGTATTCTCATTCACACATTCATCCCCATCCTTCGAGTCTTCAATTTTTCATTTTTATCATACGTTTTTCCCCAATTTCCGTCTTCTTTCTCAGTTTATTTTTCCCTCGTTGTCTATAGTAAATCGTTCACTTGACGTAATTTTATCATATCATTCCGTCACAGAAGCGATCAAGAAGAGAGATGACCTTTTTTCCCATTGCTTATCTCAATGCAGATAACTTTCATTCGTAAATCATATTGTTAAAAAATATATGATCGCTTTTGGTACTTTTTTCCTCGTAGTATCGACGTTTTTCTTTTTCTTTTTTTTTTTTCTTTTTCTTTTTTGGCAGAACATTTTTATGTTAATTTCTCTTTGCTAGAACATTCCGTCGTATTTGAGACAATTTTCGTCTTAATTACATATCTAAGGTATTTTTAATCGATTAAGCTTTTGTTTGTTGCTTTGCCTCTGGGTTAATGTTTATTTTGTGTCCATGTATTGTGATTTTTGTGGACTTGTTTAAACTGTTTAATTAAATATATATCTATATTTATATTAATGACGCTTCATAATGACCACAAT